GCGGGGCCCCCCCGCGCCCTCCTCTCCCCCCCCCCGCCCGCCGTGGGGCGGGGAGTCGGGCGGTGAGACACCCCTCGGGCAAAGTAAAGGCTGGGAGGGGGTGGCGGGGTGTCCCTCCGCCAAACCAACGGCTGAGACCGGGGGGGGGGAGCGTGTGAACCCCCAGGACAAGGCAGCAGGCAGGGCAGACGGGCTCGTTACTTAAACCGCTGACGAGCCCTCTCTTCTACTGTGCTGAAACCACCTGCTGTCCAGAGGTTCCCCAGCTGGAAGGCTAGTTACATCACTTGTAAAATCAAGGCATTATGTAAAAAGAAAAATAAATAAATGCAGAAGATGCATAAAAATTAAATAACCTCTGAGCCCGTGAAAAGCTGTAAAGGAGGTGGAGGTCGTTGAATTTCAAGCCCTTTGCCTCACACGCTGTCGGTGCGGGTGCTAAGCGGAGCTCCTCAGTGACCTTCTCTTTTGCCATTTCATTTGCCGCCAGCACCACCCATCATAAAATACATTCATAAAAAGAACATATTCGGAAGCAAAGGAACGGTAACAGCTGCGCAGAGAAAGCATACAGATGTGTTACAGTAACGGAAGAGGTTCCTCCAAACCAGGCAACATCTAACATAGATGTTCCATCATGTTCTGCCAAAAAAAAAAAGGCAGCAAAGCTGTACTGGAAGACTGACAAATGCATGGTGTGAGGAGACGGTCATAGATCCAGAGCGAGAAAATCTGCAGTTAGAAAGGAAGAGGACAGGAGACACCTGATGCAACAAAGAGCAGAAAGACCCAGACATGCATTAAGAAGAAAGAAACAGAAACCCCTGAAAAAAAATAAAAACAAAACTTTGAAGTTGAAAAAGTATAATCTACCAGTGAGATACAGGGGCTTAAAAAAAAAAATAAATGTGGGCAGCCCACAGAAAATAATTATTTAGTTAGCTACAGAGCTGGAAAAATCTGCAAAAAGCCACATACCCAAGGAAAGCAAACGTGATGTGCTCCGAATTCAGTAGGCTGTGTTTGCCTTTTGTAGCCCCTCAGCATCATTGCTAGGTCACTAACGCTGTGGAACTCCCCAGACTGCACCTTTTTGTCCATCCAAGAGACCACCGTCCTCAGAAAGCCAACCAAAAGATTCTGGGAAATAGTACTACTGAAGCAAGACAACCACTCCAGATGCCAGGTGAAGAGTACCTGTCATAAGCAGAATCTAGATTTTAAACTCCAGTCTGCCTCATGCTCTCTTGCAAACACACTTTTAAAGGATTTTGTTGAGTTTTGCCTCAAGAAACATCATAACAAAAAACACTAGTCAGAGAAGAAAGAAGCTGTAAGGTCTACTATGTTGTGACAGCCTAACATATTTGGATGGTTGGATTCATCACACTGAATTTTTGTGTATATTCTGGTGGTTCTTGAGTGCAAAACGCAACAGTAAAAAAATAAGTGAAAGCACATTGTTCCAGTAATATCAGCTGTAGAAACAGGGAAGTGAAGGAAGAGTAAGAGATAGCAAGAATTCTATGTTAACATCAAAGATTTTTTTTGTCAACAATTAGGTTCTGAGAGAAATGGGAAGCCACCGTACCTTTAAAAGATGAGAGCAGTTTCAGAAATCCCTGATCCATGTCTTCCTGCAATATATTTTTATGACGTGCTCCATTTTCAAACCTGCAGAAAGGGCCGAACTGTTGAAGGACATCCAGGAGAGAGTCTGTACCACCTGCGGCTCTCCTCTCATTTTGCCCTGCAAAACATAACCTCTTTACCATAGTACACCAGGCTGAAAATTGTAATAGTTCACAAGTTGATCTGCATGCAGCCTCAGCCCTTCGCAGCCAAACCGTTGCTCAGGGTTTTTAGGGTAGATGACTAAGAACAGTAACATTTTCAGCATGCAATTTTAATCAGATGCCCTGAGCTTGTCTGAATCCTCACTGACATTTAAAAAATACAGTCATAAAATAACTCATCCTCTTAAAAACAAAAACAAGAACAAAAAAAAACACCTAAAAGCCTCACAGACCAAAATGATACCCACAAGCTTAAAAGATACATGGATAACTGACAATAGCAGATTCTGAAGTATGTCCTAACAAATGCCCTTAAATGAAAACTTAAAAGACTTAGCCTGACCTTCCCAAAACCTTTGAGGAATTTAAGTACATCAAAGACCAAGCACAATAGTAGCTTTGCCCCTTCCTTAGCACAGAGCCAGACAGGGCTGGTCACCTTTTTAGGGACCAGGATTAACCCCAGAATTTTATCCATAAAGCAGTGGCTCTCCAGCCTCTCCTAGATTTGCACTGAGCCTGGAAAACTCCGGAGGGTTTGCACACCGAAAAAGAAACTTCATCACAAAAGATGTGCTGAGCTACCTGGGACACCAACCAAGGCGATTCCCACCACAAGGGGATCGGCAATCAACCTAACTGAGAACTGATGGGATAACACCTTCTCCAGAGCAGCAGATCGCTCAGTAAAGAAAGAGCAACTGGGAATTTGCACGCCAGGAGCCAGAAGACGGCAAGTGCAATGAAATGCAGTGCTTTCCAGCAATCTTATATGCCATACACACATGAAACCAGAAACATAATCTAAAAACTTTGCTTTTTGCTGAGTTTGCTTCCTGTGCAGTCTTTTGTTCCATCTGTGCTCATCCTCATCCTTGCTTATTGGGACACGAGAAGAAATTTGGGCAGTCATGCTCGATACATTACATTGATTACATTTCCAGAATGGAAAATTACAAAGAACAGACGAGTCAGAATCCTTTTGAGAACTGACAGGCTATTATAAAAAAAAAAAAAAAAAGCAGACTGAAAACCAGTTTATTACCTCAGTTCACGAAATTTTATGTTAGCACTGGGACAAATAAGATTTTTGTCTTTCTGTAAGACAGCAGGTCCTCTGCAAGCTGCCTAGGGCTTTCAGCAATAACTCAAAGCCTTTTTAAAATGCACTTTGAAGCTTGCCCATACTTTAAGAGTGTAAATAGATTTTAGCCCTCGTGTTTGGGTCAGGAGAGGGTCTCTTGGCTTTAATCCGACGGTCTGTGCTGCTACTCTTTTCTTTTACCATGTGCAGAGGTTAAAATTTTGCAAGCAGTACAGGAGGTTTTGCTGCATATTGCCACATAGATCAAAGAAGTCTAAAACAAAGCTAAGGTGTGAAATGTGTTCGCCTGATTCGTGTTAATATGAAACAATGCTAGGGCCGCATGGTGAATGTGACCCTCTTTGTGCATGGCATCTTTAACCATTCTGTTAAAAGAATGCAACTCTGCAAAAGTCACCTAACAGACATACTCGTATGTCAGTTTAAACCAGTTTTGCTGTTAACCACATAGTGATAAGCAAGAGAAGCCTGTAAAGCACATGCATAAAATCTAAGCTCATCCTAAGGGCAAGCCGAGGAAGACTACTCACTTCATCCACCGACCATCAGATGGGAGCCAAGAAGACCCAAAAGGTGAAGAGGGAATGCGCAGAAAGAGATAAACCTATTCCTGAGATTCATTTGCAAAGACCAACCCTTTTCTTGGAAATAGTTATGAATATGTATTAGCAGAAAGAATATAAACCAAAACCAGGAACTGTAGGGTGTGCGTCTCAGTAGAGCAGAGACTCCCGGCGCATCCAGCGCTGTTTGCTTGCCTCTATTCGTTTAATAAATTGTAAACTTTGATTACAATCCCATTTGGGACTAAGTC